CTGGCCATCCTGTCTCTTTCTGTACTTACTTCACACCTGTTTTCTTGTCCTTAGAGTACGTAGTGTTTAAAGGCTTAAGATAGTCTGGGCAAAATCACTTCTTAGTTTAAATCTCCCTGAAACTCTTTGGTGGTGTGAGGCCAGGCCCCCTTGGGGATATTTCTGCCCCCGTTCCCCTGGAGCCCAGCCAGGGAAGGCTGTGCTCTGCTCTGGCAGGACAAGGCATGTTGTGCTCCCTGGGCGTTGCTCCAGCTCCCCGGGCCGCTCTGACTTGTCCTGAGCAGGTGTTTTTCCATCAGGACCAGGCCAAGAGGCTGGAGGAGGATGGCTGAGACTTGGCTGTCCCTCTGCTCCTTGGCTATGAGGAGCAATAGGGCCTCTGGTTTCTAGGATTTAAGGGAAACTTGGTTGGATGTCCCAGTTTCGTTAGAAGGTGGTACGTATAGGGAGTTAATTTTTCCACATTTCAGAATAAACTGCACTGAGGCAAACAGAAATTATTTCAAAGTTTTTCAGCGTCCAACAATGAGCTCTGAGTGGGCTCACTTAATTTTACTGGCTAAGCTGAAGTCTGTAGAAAAATGGTCACTAGGAATAAAAATTGATCATATTAAAAATATTCCAGTTGGGAATTGGAAAAAAAAGCTTTCTTTACTGACACCAGGTATAGCGAAACTGCAATACAAGGCCAAACCAATTCAAAGTCCACATTTCTGTAGTCCTGCCTCTTCTTCCCTTCCCACTGTGATTCCCACATTATTGCTCCACTCTCTTCCCCTCCTGCCGTGACTCCCACTCCCATTCCCACCTGGGATGCACACCTGCATTCACACCTGGGAAACCAGGGCTGCTCCACGTTCTGGCCCTTGCTATCAGAAGGCACAGGACCACACAGTGTATGGACTGAATGTGACAGAAACCAGTGTGGCAAGGTGTTTGACTGGTAATGCTAGGTAGCGGGCACAGCATGCTGCTGTGCAGGTTGGAACGGGTGAAACGCTGCCTCTCCCAGGGCTGTGAGGGCCATGGCGTGGCCGTCACCCAGGCAGGGGTGCCTGGAAGCACTGGGATTGCTGAGCACGGGGCAGTGCTCTGTGGTGGGTCAGTGAGGGGACCAGGTCACTGCTTCCCAGTCTGAAGGTGGTGGGGCTGGGGAAGCGCTGTGGTGCATCCCAGGGAGCTCAGCAGCAGCCTGGGGCAGGGTGCTGGGCTCGGGGTGCTGGGGTAACGCGTGGCAGGGACGTGCTGGGCAAGGGAGATGCTGTGGGTTTGTTCTCTAGCGTGAGGCATGTGGTGACCTTTATGTTCAAGACTGGGGAGATGACCATATATATGATATGCATTAGTATGAAAATTGCCTAAAATATCTGGAAATCTGATTTCTTGCTCATTAAAGAAAAAGTTTTTCTCCATCTGCATCACATTTTATGGGCCCTTTCTCTACACCATCAATTGCTGTCAGCCAAAGGCAATGGGTGCTCCATACGGAGCAATTAGGTTATCAGTTAACAGGGGGCTGCAAAGCACTTCAATTCAATTTTGCCACTAGATCCTGCCACGGCCCTGACTTACAGGGGATTTCAGGCACTAACAAGAAAAGCCGATTACATGCAAGGCAGGCCGACGGAGCAGCCGTTCTCCTCACAGCTCTCAACTGCTGCTTCATCTCAGTTACTGCTGCCTGTGAGCTTCTCTGGGGGATTGATCTCAGTAGATGGACAGAAGCCTGTTAACTGTAATTTTGTTGATCCTTCAGCTGCTAATAATGAAGATTTTAAAAATTTTTCTTCCTCTCTTTTTAAAACTTGGTTAGAGCTTCACGTGCAGGGCTGAGGCACAGAGCAGTATCCACCAGGACCAGCTCTGATCCACTCTTCTAGCCAACAGTTGCTCACCTTCCCAGGCAGTGATCCTAACACCGACTGAAAATAAAACAGAAACTCGGCTGCTCTCATCTCAGCAGTTGACTTCCACAAGCCAAGCTGGTACTTTGTATCTGGGGCAATGTCCTAATATGTCTCTGTTATGCAGACACAGGACTTCACCAGGGTGAGATAAAGCCTATGCAATAACCCATCAGAACACTGATCTATATATATATAACTATAGCTATTATAAGAACTTAAATATAGTAAGCAAAATAATAAATAAAATAACTTATAGTATAATATCAATATGGCTATAATATAGTATAATTGTATATTTTTACCATACTTTATATAGTTTTTCATGTAGTTTTACTATACTACACTATTACTTTACTATACTATAGTAAAACTATACTATATACTATAATAGTTATTTCCAGTTATATCTGGAAAGTTATTATACAACAATAGCTGAAGTTCTATATGTAGAGATTAGATTAAAGTTCCGATGGGTTATTATAGTTAATAATAACTTTCCGGATATACCTGGAGGTTGCTCTCTGGGGAGCAGACTGCATACGCAAGCAGACAGGGTGCATTAGTGGGCTCAGATGACACCGTGCACTGCTGGACACCTGCAGACAGACTGTCTGCAATCTGCCTAAAGCATGCCTGAGGAAATCTGCAGATTGCGTGTAAGCACCTGCATGGATGAGAAGTGGATGGATCTGGGAACATACTCAACCTCCAGTCTCCCCTAAAAATGCTCTCTGATGTACTTTCTCTCAAAGTCTAGGTGCCTCATCTGACAGAGACCTTTTGATGTCTAATTAATTGGTTCTATTTAAGGTAGTCAACAAATATTTAGAAGATTCTATATTCTGTTAGACAAATGCATGCACTTACCAACAATTTTGTTTTGCTGAGAATCCAAGTTCCAGGATCCTCCACAACAGGCCTTCTAGCTTACAAGGACGAAGACAGAAGCACATCTGTTCGTCACAGGAAGGGCAGGGCTAAAGCCTGCTTATCTAAAGAGTCTGAAAGTTTGAGATAACTGGTTTGCCCCAAAAAATTGTCCTCGCTTAAAAGTTACGTAATGAATATGATCCTAGTAACATTATGCAGTGAACACAAATAAAATCTAGTACGTATTATAGCTGATCTAGCAAAATAGAAAAAAGCACATATATTTCAATTGTGTTCCTACTGATGCAGTAAAAGGCTGAAGCTGAGGAAGTTGAGTCTCGAAAGAACTTTAAAACTCAGGCTCATACACCGTCCACGGGAGACTCAGTAATAATGCTTCTTCATAAAGGGGATTGCAACATTCGGATTATATAAGGTGAAATATGGTAAATGGTGAGTAGGGTCAGCATATTGTTGAAGTGCTATGTCCAGAACATTTTCTAGTAAAAAGACATAGTGGAGGATATCTAGTTTGTCACATGTGCATAAACAAGATCAGGCTGCTGTTTAACATGTCTCTAGAAGGACTATTAGAATATTCAATTCAAAACCCTCTTCTGGCTCTGAAGAAAAAACCTGGTTTGTTGAACGATGCGGAGATTTTTCTTTGGGAGGCATCACACAACGGACTGTTCTGAAAGATAACAAAAGTGTTCAACATATGCAGAAAAAAAATTTCCCAGCCTGCTGAAGATATCAAGCTTGATGCATACCTCAACTCTTACTGTGTACCAGCTTTAGAACATCTTGAAAAACTTTGACTAGATTTCACTTCACCTAAGAAGGTTTTCTTCCCTAATCCCACATTTGAAGTTGGGTTTTCAAATATCTCTTCTTAAGATCACCAGAGTAATTAAAAGCACCTGCACAACATCTGTACTGCAGCTATCATTGAGGCTGCAGTCAGTGGTAAAGTAAAAGAATCTAAATTTTGCCAACATATGAAGTTAAAAAAAATGTGCATGTAGTAATGTTGTTAGGATTTATTTGGTGGACTTTCAAGGGGTTCTTGTTGCTGAAGTGAAACTTTAGGCTGCATCAGAAGAATCTGCTGCTCTGCAGCACTTTGAAACACTGGGTTTTTCTTGAGAAGAGAGTGTTGAATGAAAACTCTTAAGGGCTCTTCTAGGATGGTTATGCAGTCTATTTCCAGTCTAATTAACTTGGCTTTTTAATAATCAGTTGGACTAAGGAAACAATTTCATGGAATCACAGAATAGCTGAGGCTGGAAGAGGCCTCTGGAGATCGCACAGTCCAAACCCCTGCCCAAGCAGAGTCAGATAGAACAGGTTTCCCAGGGCTGGGATAAGTCAGACTTTGAGTATCTCCAAGGCTGGAGACACCACAACCCCTTCACTCAATTTAATATCTTCTAGGGATATTTATTTCACTCACATGCATCTTCTAAGAATTCAGCTGACCCCCCAGTTATAGTGAGTTAAATAGTTAATAGTTTTAAGTCAATTAAAAAGCTGCTCAATACAAGGACAGTTATATTTTGGCTTTTTATGAAAAGAAAAGTCAAATTCAAAGACAGTACACATCATCTAAAATTACTATCCTATTCTACAGGAATGCAAAATAGTTTTTGGATCCATAACAAACTATGGAATTATTCTGTATCATTAGTGGTATTGTCCCTTTTTGGCAGAATTTTCAAAGCAACCTAGTATTTTATGGAGAAGAGGCCACGAGTTTGCATGACTTGCTTCTAAGCTAGGAATAAGACAGGTCTTGTGTATCTAGTCTTTCTCAAATGTTTAAGAATGCAAGTAGATATTGCTGTAAACAGATCATGGTTTGGTTAATAATTATGTCATAAATCTGAAAAGGTGAAGTTAGCTCAGAATAAGCAAACATGAAGACTTCCTGCAGCATAAGGAGTATTACCAAACCCCACTGAGCCTGTTTTTAGAGTTGATACAAAGCCAAGGCACTTGGGAGTTAGAAGCCAAAGAACACTTTTTGTCTGTAATACAGATAATTAAAAAAAAACCCCAAAACCCAAAAAACCAGGATCCTAATTTTCCATGATTTGCATGTCTAATAAATAGCACATGACCCCATAATGATGTAGACAAGAATCGAGGGGCTCACTCACTTTATTACATAGCTGAGAATATAAGACAACACTAAAACTTACACACTACAAAGGTTCTTTTAAAAAAATAAACCACTTTAACCTAATGTTGCATAATTTAATTTCAATGTAATATGCAAACAAATGTTGCTTGCTTTCCAAGGCACAATGGTACAAACATCAAAACTGCAGATCTGATATTTAATACAAAAATATAAATACTGTTAATCTAAATGACAAAATAGCACATTTCCTCCTATGTATAAACGTTAATTAAAAAAGCTAAGCTTTATTCTCAGTCATGAAATGTAATACAGTAAGAACTATTCCTTTAGTGACACCTACTCAGAATATGTCCCTATTATACATGTGTATAATGAGTACTCAAAACATTACAAGAATTTTGCTGCATTATGCAAGAGAAGTTCGGGTGTGGTTTTTTTTTTTCCTGATAAAACTGATTCTCACACACCTGACTCTGCAAAGTCTGATTTTATCCAGAGTTTGAAATGTTCCTTGAAAGACTGAGTCCTCACTGAATCACATTAAGAACTTTGATATTAAATTTATTTAACAAAGTAATAGCTGTCTTTCTCAATTATAGTGTCAAATTTCTGAAAAACATTCCTCCTTTAAATCTTTTATCTGAAAAACTTCCAATGCAAACTGAATTAAAACATTGTTTTATTGCTAGCAAATACAAAGAACAGTTCAAACAGCAAAGAACACAGAATTGTGCCAATTTGACTTTTAAATGAGCCAATAGTGAACTTACAAAGAAAAAACAATCTATTTATTGCTCAGCCTTTCTTAAGCAAATGAAAATATGAACGTAATCCAGATCATACAGATTTCACATTCAGTTTACTAAAAAGAATTTCCACACTGATTCATAAAGCTGATTCTTTGGCTGACTGAATGTGATGTAGCAGTTGGTTACAATAGACTGGTGTTTGATGCTTATGTACAACCCCTTCAATTTCTTTCACAAGCAGTTCTGGATATAAAACGCTTCCTTCTTTTAAAACTTCTGTAAAACAAAAATACCTTTTATAAATCATTAGCCTCTCTGCATTTCTCTATCCAAGTTCCCTCAGAAAGTAGCCAAAACCTAACCTGGATGTTGTTCTACAAGTTGTGCAGTCATGACAGCCTGATTCCTCCCGCATTTGCTGAGGTCTGTATTTTGACTTTTACATGCTTGAACACAGACCAATACACTAATAAATTCCAAAGAATCCATCAAGCAAGCTAGGATATGGTCACATCCTGCAATGGTTTGTGTCTACGCTTCATATCCTGTTTACCATCTATAAAGTCTTCCGGTACATCAGATGCACTGATATTCCCCCTCTGGTGAATGCTAGATAAAACATGACGTTCTGCATACAGGTAAAAGGTCTGAGTGCATACTCACTGAAACCCAAAGGAAAGCTTCCACCCTGTTTGGCTTAGCCTCTAGTTGTATGTGTTACTTTCACATAACACTATTATTAAAACATTATTAAAAAAGCATTGTTTAAAATGACTGTAAGTCTTACCTAGGACTGCATTTTGGATATTTTGATCCGGGTCATCGAGGTGTATCAACAGTTCTTGGTACAGAAACTCAATATGACTTTGCATTGCAGATTTCATGTCACTGTCCTCTAAACATTTAAACCAATTAGTTAAGGTATGAGCAGCTGCCAGGCGTACATCACATGAAGCATCATCCAGACGCTTTAAAACTTCTGGAAAGAAGCACATATATATGTACATATGCATAAGCATATAGCGCTGTGAACAGCAAAGTTATCTTTTACATTTCAGAAAACAAATGTATGTTGTCATCACTGAAATTATTGTTGCATTTATGACATATTTCTGTTATTACATTACAAATACCTGTAGAACATTCTTCCTAAAACCACACAGTACATTGTTACTGAACTGTTGTCAAAAAACTTTAAAAAGTATACAAAATTATTTAGATTAGTTGAACATTCTCTAGCACTTTTTCTAACAAGGTACTATGAATGTCTATTAATGCATTACAGAAGTTTAAGTATTTCTATGCTTTATAAAGCACAGCATTTCTATCAGATATTACTATTTAAGTGAATGACTGCATTGCAGACTATTTGACTATGCAAGATGGAAAGCTGTACTTTGACAATTGTCTGATCATGAATTTATCAAAAATAAAAATGTCTGTTGTTACGATTTCTACTGTGACATTTAAGAAAAAGTATCAGTCATTAGGAAGCTGAGTTTGGGAAAGTCCAATTTATGTGTATATATTTCAGAGAACCTAAATCCTGTTACGTAGCATAGACTGTACTTCTGATTCATTGTTTAGCATTTAAACATCATCCTAAGAAGCACTACAGACAATAGTGCTCTTTGACATTATTTTTTTTTTTTTTAAATAAAAAACCCCAACCCACTACCTATTCAGCTCTATTTCTGGTAAAAATTAAATGGCTTGCTCTTGGCACTCTGAAACACAGCAAGGAGAACAATGTGACTACCATTTATATAATGCATTACTGTTCTGCTTTCACTATAGTTAGAACATTATTTCACATAGTCTAAACTAGGAAGCAATGCAGATGAAAAACTGGCAAGCCTTGCAAAGGCCGGAATGTTGAGTGAAGTTCCATCTAGTGGTCTAATGCATAATAACGCTGGGAATACTGCTCAGTTCTGCTCGACTGAGAGAGCGAGGGCATTTGCAAAGGACATCAACTTGTCTGCAATACACCACCTCAATGAAATGAAATACTGCAGTCAAAAAGCTGCTACGGAAAGGCCTTGCACGAAGCAAGCGCTGTTGGAGTCCCACTCAACAACACCTACTCAAGTGTTTAACACCTTGATTTTCTAAAATGTGTATGTGTACTTTATACACTTTAAGCAGTTTCACTTATCGGTTTAAAACCACAAAGTCTCTGAAGGATTAAGACGTTAAATTGCCTATCATACATAAAAATGCTGCTAACGGTATGATTTTGTGCAGCACTTCACTTTTTCCATTTCCTTAATATCTATAAAATTACTCTGGGGGAGAATTACCCAAATAGTTAAAACACCAGATAAGAGAACACAGAAATAGCATTAGAATATGTGCATGGGAGCGAAATAAAACGGCTGAGAAACCGAGTCTATGTAAAATCTGCCTCTATTTGCACCTCAAACTGTTTAAAGGCTTTTTGCTCTTTACGTGGGATTAAAGCCAGATGCCATAGTGCCATACAGCAGCTTTTGTCACTCCCTAGTCTGTAACAGTGTTTTCACTGCTACCAGCCACAGTGCATCTGCAGGTGGACAACCTGTACAGTGAATCCAAAGCTGTATAGTGACTGCCTACTGCTCCAGCCCGATGCTTTTCACCCCTAAAAGCTAAGCTAACTATGATACTTCAGGTAAATTAGCAACTGCAATTCTTCAGCATGGAAATCTTAGTTAAAAAAAACTTCTATAAAAATTAAACTTTTACACTTACCTGTGTAAGTGGTGGTAAATTTATCTTCATCAAACTGCTTCCCACAGACTTTTAAAAAAACACCAACAATACGACAAGCCATCAGTCGAGTAATTTTAGAGTCTTCATCCATGGCAGCAATGATTTGGGGCATTAGCCCATCTTTGACTGTTAAGATCTACAATTAACAGGAAAAGCATATAAGAACAGCAGCTTCTCAGTCACTCTGTAACAACACCCTTAGTGGTTACATCAGTTACCATTAGGTCTGAATGATACTGGCTTGCTTAGTTTAAAAAGAAAAAGTTAACTATAAAAGTTAACCTGAAAATCTTGGAAGTTACACAGCTCTATTTTTGCCTCTAAGCAAGCTTGGCAAATGAAAATCCACCAGTCGATCATCCAGTTCATGAATGCTCAGTATATATGCAGATGAGTTTTATGTAACTTGTAAAAGCTTTAAACTTACTTGCCTTTTTATTTTTAAAAAATTGTTGGCAGAACTTTAAATAATTTGGAGATGAGGATTTATGTGTACATACCAGTAGATGGTGCTCTTATTCTAAAAGGAAGCATTTAAGTAAAGACTTGTAAATACAGTATTTTAGTGAGTTTTGTAATTTGATTTCAATATGTACCTTTCATATACATTAATTAAAAAATGGCATTAAGGCACTGATTCAGAAAAATGTTTAACTAGAACAGTAGTCTCTGATATCAACGTTTTCAGATATGTGAACTCAACTAGTTACATGTGTGTAAGCACTTTGTTCATTTAAGGTCTGTTTTAAAGACATGACTATGAACATTTAATAACATTTTAATTATTTTTTTTAAAAAAATGTCCTTATATTTAACACATTTTCAGTGCACCATTTGCAAATGCTATTTTACTTAGCAAACAAGCTTCCAAAAACCTCTCAAATTCAATTCATCCTTAGCCATTATGGTGGTTAATGTTTCTTTAAGTGTACTCCTTGTTAATTCTCTACTTCGGTTTCTACAGATACCCTTCAAGTTCCATCTCAAGTCCTCCTGCCTTTTTCAGAATCTTCTAGATTTTTTTTCTCCTAAACGGACCTGTGGGCTCCAAGGCAAAGAGGCAACTTATCTTTGCCCTGTTACACAAAAGCCTGTCCTGGCCAGCCGCAGTGCTGCTGCACAGGCACTGGCTAGGGGTCCAGTAACATCACGCACCAAGTTGTTGTGCTAATAGTTAGTATTTTGTGCAACAGAACAGACATTAAGCTAGAACAAAGATCTACAAAATCTGACAATGGTGAGTACTACAGCTTACCAGATTGCTGGCCTCAGGTCTCTTATCAGGATACCATTGTCCCTCCACTACTGATCATTTCATTATTAATACTCAATTTACAATTAATGAATTTTATTATGAAAACTACACATCCATCTGAAAATATTACTTACAGTAAGGATTTATTCTTTTTTTGCCCCTTGCATTTATTTTGTCTTTCTGCCTAAGATTTCAAAGTACATTTGATGAGAGAGAATTTACCTCTTTTGGTGAAAGCATTTCACAGTGAATAAGAGCCCAAAGGCACGATACAGCTGTAGTGCGGATGGCAGCTGCTGTTCTTCCAGCATGCCACTGCAGATTAGGAGCCAGTATGTCTTTTATCAAAGTCTCAAGGTAGCTGGGGAACAGCCTGAAGCCAAAAATAAGAAAGCAAAATAAAGGTTCATGAGAAAGTGATAAAGAGACTGACAGGATGTAAAAGAGAATTTTCTGTCATAGAAACATAGGCAGAAAAGGAAAAAAAAAGACTGTAAAAAATAAATAAAATCTTATAAGCCAATGTGATTATAATGTATGTGATAAGCTTTTCACAACTTAATTTTTCTAGATAATATTTAAACAAATACCTAACATTCATGGAAAGGGGAGGCTAGACTTTCTCCCACTTCAGACGATGCCCATGACTCACTGCGTTATCTTGGTAAACTACTTACCTTCTCTCTGTCTCATTTTCTCCGTCTGCAAAGTGGAGATAACACCCCATATGAATGCTGTGAGGATTCATTAATATTTGTAAGGCCCTTTGAGACTGTCCAGTGAAAAGTATTTATAACGTGAAAAGTATGAATGCTCTTGATGAGACCTGAGCTAGTGATACTGCAGGGAGTCTACACAGCCTACTTCAGCTTTCCCTTGGCTCAGAAACCAGTCTCCCTCAAGGATGAGAGGTCCTGTAGGATTTTCTGATGGTGCCAGTCCCAATACTAGTTTGTTTTCATTCCAAACACACAAATCTGATATTTTTGCTGATGCTTCTTCCTTGTACTCTGTTGTACAGGCTATTATAATGCTAAAAGTTGCTGTGAGTCAGCGAGTCCAATAGGCAGTATCCCCTCACACTCATTTAATTCCAGCTCAAACAACTTTATATTAAGAAAAAAAAGATATAGATCTTACACACAAGTTAAAAATGACTTTGCTGCATCAAAGAGACACATGTGCCTGGCTGTGACTAGATAATTAAGGCTCGGGTTATTCGCTGTGCCTCTCTCCTCTAAAAAGCAGCTGGCAGCATGCAAAATGGATTGAAAAGTAACGGACTAAATCTACCTTGACTTGTGTCCCACTCTATTCAAACTTCCCGCAGATGTGGACTGCAGCCACCCAAGTGCAAAACAGCACATCACACCCCTGGTGCTTGGCAGAAAGGGAACAAACTGTTGCTGACTTTTCTAAGAGTTGTACATTTCCAGGATGAATAATTTGTTCCTACAGAGATGTGCCAAGCCACAGGAGGAATATAATGGGTAGATGTTAACAACGAACAAAAAATCATCAAGTACTTTTACAAAAATCCCAACAATAGCAATACAAAATCTTCCAGCAATGATAATCCAGCAATTAAAAAGTTCTATAATAATATTGCATCAATGTAATAAGAAATGCATTTTGCTTATTTCCTGCAGCTACCCACTGCAGTTAGACCATGTCATCCAGGTCTAATCCAAGTAAAGTATGACCAGCTAGCCTGCCAGACATTAATTATCTATTGAACACACAAAAACCTGAAACTCTCTATCTCCAACATGATGAAAATAGATACACCTGGCTGCTGCTCAGCTCCTCGGCTAAGGGAGTACTCAGTGTCTGAGAGTCAGAGATCCATTCTTGCTTCCTGTCCAGCAGATGGCACTTAAGATTCAGTAATAACAAGAAAACTGATGTCCCATTAGGCATACATAAATTTGTCAAAACCCTTTAGATTATTTTAAATACATTTTTGAGAATTAAGAATTTTTTATTCAAAAAGTTGCCAGAAAAAAAATATAACTAATGATCACTATCATTCTGAATTTCCTTTTAGCTCCAAAGCTAAATAAAAAAAAGCTTTGTGCTATTTGTGCTACTTTGCTATCTGATCAGTAGTTGCTTCTGTTTTTAATAAAGCTTTCTGCCAAACTGCAAAGAAAACCCAATCTGTCAAAACATAAAGGTAAATTCCATCAGCATTATGTTAACCATAATGCCATGCTATTTGTGAGAATATCTGTTCTAGTGCCTTGAAAGAGGATCAGTAAAGCACTATCTGGCAATTATCTGACTCAGTCATGACAGACTCAAACAAAATTAAATGACCACACAACTGTGTTTAGTGTAGTAATTCCAAGCCTTTCTATCTCAACTGTTAGAATGTTTTTTAAGGAGCTAAAGAAATTACTGCCAGCAGGGAATGTGATTGTGTAACCAGAACTTATTACCGCTTCACTACACTATCTCTCATTACCATTAAGATATATTTTTTGCTGTTGCCAATGCAATTAAATTCTCTCTCTTTCCATTTTCAGATCTTACTGTTGCAAACTTATGTAAGTTAATTCTAAAAGGGAGCCATTTCCATGAAAGAACATACCCTGTCTGTGCTATCTGTATTTACAGAGTTGAGTCTTTATTCTCAACTGGATATGAAATAACTAAAACGTGATCTGTTCATACAATAGCACCTAATGCTTATGCAGTTATAAAAACCAGAGTTTGGGTTTACATTAAAATTGCTACCACCATTTTGTGGACTTAATTACTTAAATTTTAATTCCATGTTAATTATTTTTTATACATTTTTGTTCTGGATTGGCTCCTTTTCTGCTTTTATGACACTGCTGCACTTGGCTTTATATGTTTGTGGATTGTTGTGCTTTGGGGTTTTTGTGTATGTTTTTGGTTTTTGCAAGCTTAGTATCCTAAACCCAGGCAATTCAAAACAAAACTGGATTTGCTTTTACAAAATGTTTTGCAAACAAAACAACTCTTCAAACAAAAGAACTTTACATGCTACTTCCTACATTAAAACATTTGCTGTGACAATGGTAAGTAGAATCAAGACTTCAAAGAGTCATTTAGCTCCCTCTACTGCTTTTTAGTTTCTGAAGCTAAGCCTACTGGTAAAATCCATTGCATTGCTCTTATTGTTAGAGGACAGAGTGATTCATTCTGAGTTAGACTGGGCCATCCTTAGCCAAGAGTTGTTCATACAACAGCTCTATTAACCTAATTGGACGTATCTAATCTTGACAAAAGGCTACTCACTCATACTGCTCTGAGCAAAACAACTTCCATCACTGCCATCTCTGAAGAGTTGGTGGGATGTGTGGTTATAGTTGCTGAGAGCATTACTTTGAAACATATTCTTCTATTTTTTCCCTTTCCTGGGAATCCTAGTGAAGGTGGCAGATCAGTGAGTTGGTTTCATTCTCCCCTCTTTGGCTCCATTATTTACCCAAATGATTGGGTTGCAGATGAAAGATTTTCTTATTCATCCTATTTACTTTGACTACTGCCAAAACAAAAGTTTACTCTTTGACGATGTTCTCCATATGGTCCTGCACTGCTCATCTCTCTCTACCAGCAGTACCTATGTGACCTAACTTAATATACTTACCTATCTACTTCAGATACTTTCAGATAAAGAAGTGCTATCAATCCTACTGTACAGGTGAGAAAAATAATTAATAAGGCTCTGTGTTAATGCAGAAGTCCTTCCTACCTCCTAGCCACCCTAGTCAGGAGCACTGTGGGTCAGGACTCTTTAGCATGTAATGTACCTGTTATACTGCTTAGATGCAGTCTAAATGATTTTCTGTAGATCATAATAAGAGGCAAAATAGAGATTTAAACTCAGTTCTTCAAATTCTATTCTGCTGTAACCTGTAATTCTGTTTTTGAGGAAGAAGAGCTGGAGCCAGATAACTGAAAATGTATAGAGAAGAAATGCCAATGAGACTAAATTGTTGACCAGGTCTGAATTTGATTAAATACTTTGAAAGAATAAACATATTCGATATTTTAAAAACCAGCATAGAAAATAATAAATGTGATTGTATAGTAGATGAGCAGAAGCTAATAATGTATTCTGCAGTAAATAAAGAGCAGTAAAATTAGCCCATAAAAGAAAATAAACAGATAGGACAGAGTTGCATTAGCCATTTTTAGACTGAAATACATTATTCCACACTTAATAAGCACCATTGTTGTGTTCAGGGCATGACACATGAGGTGACATTTCTTGGCTCCATGGTCTTTGCGTTCTCAGTTACTGACGATACAGATGTGAGATATAACAGATTAGCTTACAACTAGCCAGATCCTGGAACACTTAAAATAGTTTTCAAAGTGCTTGCTTTCTTTTAGGAAGATTCTTATGTATCTAGAATGACCTTGTAACTACCACTCAGTTACCTGATTATTTAAACAAGTAATCCACCGACTACAAAGAGATTTTTCACATGAATAGGGATTTTAACATTGAATCATGAAAATTAAGAAATAGATAACAATACACATGGCACAAAAGCTTTCAGTTGAAAAAGGTCAGCTTCATTATATTTCATCTTAAGCACACTACCTCAAAATCTATGAGGGGATGAGTCAGCAGGAATTCTTCAGCTCACCTGGAATCCCCCAATAAATGGGAACGCCAGGGTTCCTGTTCCTCCTCCTCCTTCTACCATTATAGGATGCAGGCCATGAATATACTAAATACATCTAAAAATGGTAAAAATACATCTACATTCATACTAACATGGCCTCATGGAACCTGAACGAATGTTCAACATACCAGAATGCCCACTGAGTGCCAATTTGCTCATCAGAATCATGAAAAACTTTTAAGTATAAAGGACCATTGCTATCAAAGTACTTTTAGGAAGAATGTTTCCTGTGATTGTTTCTGGTTTTTAAGAGTTAAAAATGAAATAAAAATGCATCAGAATACATTTACATCCTAAATGCAGCAGGCACTGGGACAAGCAGAGCAGCTATGGTTTATGCATTCAGGACAACTTTGCAGAGTGTTTACAGTACTAGTAAAGCTAAATTAATAGTGACAAAAGAGCCCCACTGTTGGCATTGTTATAAATAGAGGGGTTTTATAAGCATCGTAAATTACAGTTAGATTGTACTTGCAACGCATAAATAGTGCCAAGCAATAGGAGACTTCCATCTTCAGTCACTGAGAGTAATAATTCCCTATCAAACACGTGGTTTAATGCTTTTTAAACACCATGCTATACCATGGGCATTTTTAACTGCCCATTTTTGGAGTGTTTTATTGTTTCCTTATAATGACTATGGGCAAAGTTTAGGGATTTAGAAGTTTGCTGGAAGAAAAAGAAAAAACCAAAATACTAGCCCTCCCCTCCATTTATTTCCTAAGAATCCCCATTTTAGCTTTCAAACACGTATTCTTTTCAACTATAACTCACTATTTTTTGAAAACTATCCAGATCTGCATGACATCCATTTTAATTTTCCACCATGGCAGAGGTAAGAAGACTACAGTGGAGGAAGTCCAGCCTTCGATTTATTTATATTTTCTTTAAATTATTGCACTCCGCCCTTCTAAACATGGTTAAAAAATACAGCAAGAAAAATATGCTGTAGAAAGGGTGGGAAAGTCTTTCTTCCTCCAGAAATGCTAACATGAACACAATTATAGGGGTTAAATAACTACCACGGCCATTACTTTTTAATGCCACTGTAGTGTTCAAACAGCTGTGTGAAATTAGAACTCTACTTACCCCTGAGAATTGACAGTTTCACTTGCTTTCTGGAGCAACTGTGATAAAACAGTGAAAAGTTTTAACCGCATCTGGGGATCTTTGTTTGGTTGAAGACACGTCTTAAGAATGAGAATAAAGTCATTCAGAGCTTCACCTATGACAGGACCTAGAATATAAACATGTAACTTATTTCAGAGTACTAATAAATTCTATTCAGATGTTTAATATGTGAATGCACTAAGATTTGTAATATGCCTTGTATTAAAATAGAACTTAACTTTCCACTCTCGCATGGCAGCTGTTGTATCCATGTTACATCGTATTAGGCAGTGCACAAATACCCAAGCTAGCTCTGCACGGGCTCAGGTACGCCCAGTCTTAACCACAACACCATGGTGCTCCCTGGAGAACATTTACCCCAGATCTCATCTAGGCAGCTTGGTACTGCTGTATTGCCTTGCATTATGTAGCATGGACATATCGACAACACCGGCTCGCTGCTGGAACCAGCAGTACAAGATGACATTTTGGGGGGAGGATTAATGCTGTTCACTATGAAAGCTTGAGGGTCTGCACAAAGTTTTTGTTTTATTGAACTTAATGAAAATTTATACTGAATCCGGTATGACCATGACATCACTCGAAACAGCAGCATTAACTATGCTTTTTTTCTTCTTTGACATTTTTCCAAATGCAGCCTTCAAGCAAAGATGCTCATAACTCCCAGAAGCACAGAAAAGGGCATTTGAAAGGGTCAGCCTCAAAACCTGGATAACAGAATTACTGGAACAGTATTCTTTCTCCATGTTTAAATAATGCTTACTCGCATTTTACAAGAGAATCTAAAGTATGATGAATTTTAGAAGCTGTTTGAAACAAAAATATTTTCCAAATTAATTCTCCAGTTTGGTAACATTTCACATCCTATGAGAAATTGTTTCCACCACTGAACAATAAACAAACAGACAAAATCTTAAGCTGTATTCCCAACATTTGAATAAAAGATTTTCCCAAAACAGAAGGAAGTTTGTGCCTTTCTCCTTGATAACGATTAACAACTGCACGGTTTTAAAGAGGAAGAATACATAGAGACTGTACACATGCTTTATTCTGCAAGCTTCTTGCTGTAGTTTGCTCTTTCAGCTTTATGTTTGCAATAAACTACTTTTCTCTAGGAACTTCTTCATCTTTGCATCCTTGAGATGCACATTCCATTCAACTCCAGTGACTCAGAAAATCCACCCAGAAGGAGACACAACACTGGCATTTCTGATGACAAGAATATTCCTCACACATGGAATGGACAGATTGAAGTATTCAAGATTCCAAACCAAGTTCAATAGCATTTAATAATATCTGGAAATATAATGCTTAAAATAATAATAACCTCCCCAAATCTTCACTGTCTAGACTGAAGCAATAGAGGGTGTTGAACTGCAGTTTGCTAAATTTCTGTGCCAACAAATAGGTCTTTATTTTCACAGCATTTATTCAAATACATTGCTTCATGTGAGTTCTGAGACATTTAAAAGATACTACTATTATATCAAACTGATAACAGCAAATTCAACAGATGGAAAATAAAATAAACTACATTGCTAATTTCAGCTTAAGCATAAGTTCCTGAAAAACAGTAAAAACTGAGAAATTTGAAATGAATAAACCTGATTAAATTGATTAAAAACAACAGTATGTGTGGGAATGAAAACAAAGAAAAAAAAAAATAGCTCTAGGAGCTGCTGTGTCAGACAGAAAACACAGACAATAGCATATTACCAGTGCTGGGTACAAGCCAGAATGTTTGCCCAGACATTTGATGATTTATTTAGCATTAAGGAAAACAGAGACAACTGTCTAGAAGTCCCTCCGTCATGGAAATGGGAGCGTAAATATACAGGAAAGTTGGCCTCTCAGATCTTGTGCTGAAAAAACTTTTTTGTTCTTTCCACCGATGAAAAAAAGAAAAAGTACTTACACTGTTTGCTGCAGACACCAGCAAGTGGGTGTTTCACATAGGTTTGTGAGGCTTTTTTTGAGATTCAAAGATTAAATGCAGAAGATAAAGTCCCTTAAAACATACCTGTCCACAATTTATCTGCAGTAGCAATAATAGTATTTTACCTGTACCTGTAGCTGAAGTAGCTGTCTACATCCCCTTTTTAACTAATAGAAAGGAAAAAAACAAACAGGACTTTCCATTTTAATAATCCTAACTGCCTGTCCTTGCATCTTTTGCCTGTAGATGCAATCTGGGGAGTGCACCGGAGGAACATTCACTGTGCAGATCTGAAGCTAGGTGGAACGTACACCAACGTGTTTCACTAATCTATACACAGCAATGTGTTGAAGAACATAAGGGAGAAAATTTTTCTACAGAAAGATAGTATCTTTCATAAGACTGGTGAATAGATGAAAAAAATACATAAACTTCTGGACACATAAGGTACATGAGTTCATCTCTCCATAATCTTTATCTATTTCATTTACCTGAAAGTGTGTTTTTAGAGAACTGCTTTTAGTATGCTCCTTGCAGCCAAAGAGTCTCTTGGAATTTGAGCTGCTTCAACATTTTTGATTTGCTTTCCATCGTAGTCTTGTGAAGTTTCTGAATATTACACTATTCATTATAAAACACAATGTGTCCACAGGCTATGGAGATTATCACTTTATTTTTTTTAGAACTACTCAATAAGTCGTACCTGAATGGGTTGCGATGACATCTAACTGTAATATTTCTGGTGAATAGCAGGCCCAACAATCACATGATACTGAAACCCATTCCATAAGCTGAATTATATGCTGTTTGTAGAGATAAAGAAAGCTATCCAATTGCTGCACTTCAGCCAATGAAGACATTGTTTCCTCTACCTGTTAAAACAGCGACAGGATACTTTATCTTAACTGAAACAATATTAAAAAAAATTTAAAAACCTTTTAAAACTCATAGTTATACTATCAGAACAAAAGGAACACAAGATTTCCATAGTTTCTACTTGGACAATCAAGATTGTTATTTAATGTCTGCCTATACTACACCTATTAACTTTTATTTAAAGCGAAACATTTGTCCTGAGTTCAAGATGAAATGTAAGGAACACAGCAATGTAACAGAAAAAATGAGAACATCTCTAATCCATGTGAACACTTATGCAAAAAAATAACCATATCACAAAAAAGCTCTTACTAGTTTTAAAGATGTAGTGATTTTCCTCCTTAATTTAAGAATGCCTTAAAAGATTAACATAAAGGAAATTTCTTGCAATCCTACCTAGCAGGCTATGGCAGCTTCCAAAAAATATTGCTGTTACAGCTCAGAGAAGATATGGTATTTCCCTTCCTGCCCTTCCACCTCAATTTTAATTATGCAAGATGCTCTCTCTTTACAGTATCTGGGTAGGTTAATTTTGAAATTCTCAACTTCTGTTGCTTAGAAGTACTGAAATTTACTGTTATATTTGAAACACCTTCTTCATATTTACTTTTAGACTATTCCATGAGACAGACAAATAAAACATGTACAAAGAAAACATGTAAAAAGAACTACTAAATGAATTCCACACATGATTATACTTGGCAAGGAAGCATATAGATTTTCTTAATCACTTGTAGCAGCTGTATTACAAAGCAAAGGAAAATCTGCTTTGACAGTTCTTGAAGACTCCTACCAGAGGTACAAGACTTTTCTAAGGAAGAGATTAAAAGCATGTTGGAAGCAGCATCCAGAGTCTTAGTGATTTCAGTGGACAGTGAATCAAGAATTGGGGGGAAGACACTTAAAAATCTCACTGAGAAATAACACATCATCAGCATGGCCAGTTCTAGCAGGGAAAGATACAGTGCAGCGCTATGTGTGACATCATTTGACTCTAAGTGGTGCAGCAGAGCTACAAATTGTAGTCATATTTTTAAGCTGAACTCAACCGCACAAGTTAGCTGAAACATGTCTAGGACCTTTACAGTTTTACACACTAATCACTTGCCAGACAAAACATGTTATTATGCAAGTACCAGATGTGGAGAAAATAAATGAGATTTCTAGGAAAAAAACATTAAAAAAAGAGATAAATCGGGATTTGCCAAGGACAAAGGTTACTCTTAAAGCGGGTTTGCCTCCCTCAAGAACAACAGATTTCTCCTTTTTGGAGCATTCTGCCAGCCAGCCCAAACAACTCAGAATAACTTATATGTAAAATATTAATTTGTCTGTAAATTAATGGGACCATTTTACATGACAGAATGTTTAAATACAGACCGTTCCCCATTATTACTCCCACCACAATTTGCAAGACGTTTTTTTTTTATTGAACAAGACACAAAATAATACATTTTTCAGAAGTCATTTAAAATAAACTCTAAATAGTTTCAAGAGTGCAATTAAAAAAAAAAATGCCAATAGACAGATGCATATCTTCTCATTAAGAAGTGTCTCACAGTTGAAAAAGAATAAAATAGCCAGGGTGATTTTCTTTCCTGTATTTGAAAGCTAACAAGTCTAATAATACATTATTTCATTATTTTCATGCTAATAATCGTGTGCCAGAAGAGCCAAGATAGCACAGACCACTGGTAATAAAACAAAATGTTATCTTTAGCTCACCAGTTAAATCACTGACAAGCTCAATACATGCTGAACAGACTTGTAACAACTGATATGGCTTCAGTCTACTTGGGGCAGTAAACTGTACTCCTCATCAGGACACCAAAGTGCTCAGTTGGTGGTCTTGATCCTTTTCCTTAGCCCTAAGCAACCAGAAACACTGATGAACACAAAGCAAAGGGGCCAAAAATCAAGCAAGACTGAGTGTTCACAATCAGGTCACAGCAGTTGTGGTCTGCGGTGTCTCTGTGATCTGCTGCCCCCTTATAGTAAAGCCTGAATTAAAGATCTATAATGCAAATTTTTGAATAATTTATGTTTATACTCATATATATCCTGAACACAGACTTCTTTCCCAAACAACAAATTTATACTTGTAAAGCTAGCTGGAATACATTTGTTCTATATGGTCTTAAACTATTTTCAAATGGATTTCTTGCTTTCTGCAAGGTATACAGATCACTTTGAATTTTTAGAATAGTCAGTGACTGGTGACAAAAAAAATTTTAAAAAGGACTCTCATCCAAAGTACTGTCAACTTTAAAAATCATCTGTAACTGCAGGAACATCTTAAACCTTTAATAAACCTGGGAGATTAACTTTCTGTACATGAAAATCAGGATTTATCTCCATGAAACTGCTTTCTTTGTAGGGGTATGAATTTGTAAGATTTTAAATGGACATTGATGACTTTATGGACAACTGTAGGGCTAAACAGACAAGATAGTGCAAAACATACCAGATCCATCTGTCCAAGGCTTAAGTGGTCAGATTGTTTAAAAAAAAAAACAACCAAACAACCCAAAACCCAAAAAACAAAACAAAACAAAGCCAAAACAAACCCCCTGAAAATCCCACCCTCACACTGGCACTCCATGAAACAGATTTTCACGCTGTACCTCTCTGACCTGCAAAGTCTTTTCAGTACTTGTTTCAAGCTTTGTTGTATTTTACTTTTTTCAGAATAGTTTTCAAAGTGTATGCCTTCTTGGAGGCAGCCTGTCAGCTAAGGGGTCATAAATACTGATGCTACACAGGCCATTGGAATACCATGCCTGGAAGCAAGAGAAAAGGAAGTAGAATAACCATTGCATTTAAGGTGCACGTTTGAAAAAAGACAACTTGGATAGGTCACAATTGTACTTGAGGATGGCTTGCTGATTTATTTGATATTTAGCTTGAGGAAGAGAGAAATAATGGGGTGAGATAATGTTTAGCCAAAAAAGCTCATCCATTATCAGGGCATCTACAGATGTTCTTGATTTTAAAGCATTCCTGAAACATTTAAACGTTTGGTTCTGGTGTGGAGGTAAAAAGGTCAGCTACTGTAAAATCAGTCTGATCTTTGTCTAAAGATTAAAAAAAAAAAAGATGAAATTATCACTTTTAAGGCTCGTAGTGCTCTTGATCTATAGGTGAATTGTTATTTAACAGTCAGTGACTTTTTTCATGGCCACTTGTATGCTCCTGTGTATAACCTAACAATAACAATAATCTGGTGTTTTACATCCACCTAAAAAAAAGCATCAACAGTTCAACCAGCACCAACTGCATGGCCAAAGCTTTGCAGAATCCAGCAACAAGCTCTTGAACACTTCCTGTTCCAAAACTTTACCCAAACTATGGCCCATCCATCCAAGTAAAGTGTTCTTCTAGGCCAATGGCAGCCCTTGTCCAACTGTGAGTTTTCCATGCTCTTGTAATGTACTTCAAGACATCTATTATAAAATGTAATGTAAACACACTTAAAAAAAAAATAATCTAGTTGTAACTATAGTCTACTGACCCATACTGGATGTCTTTGGCCACAAACTAAAACTGATTTCCAGGGCCTTTCTCAGAACCAGCAGATATTCTAAATCTATGGGCCTTCAACCAAAGTTATGAAGAAAAGTAATCATCTAGGCTCTGCTGTCCCGAACTGTAAACCCAACTCCAAACTTAATTCTGGTATTAATCATATACAGTATGTACAGTGAGAGATGAACAACCTTGGACTACCCCCCAGCCATTACTCTCCACTGGTATAACCCTGATATAGCACTGGTACAGCCAGTGAACAAGCCTTACAAGATGTACCAATAAGGCAAACATCCAAGTTTCTTACCCAAGTAATATCCTTTCCTATCGTCAGCCAAACTCAGACTTTAATCACATTTCTGAAGACCACATTTATGTAGGAGCTAATATTTGCCTTAGAAACATCACTGTATGTTCTAGTCTTACAGTGTTTTCAAGACTCAACAGTACATTCCGCTCTTCTGGCACCACTGTTGCTCTAGACTTTTAACCTCAACTTTAATCCCATCCTAACCTTAGCACTACCCTGAGTTCCAGTTCCATAGAACAAATAACCTATAAGACTCTAGTCTCTGTTGCTGCTAATCTTAGTTACAGCCCCGTGGATCTGCAAGATTAAACTGAGATGTTCAAACTGCTGTCTGGAAACAGATGTAGCACCTAACAACTATGAACTGTGATCTGGCAAAGCAGAAATATCAATATTTTGACTGACAAATTATAACACTCATAGATCTTTCAGCCTTCACAGAGGCTTCTAAATGTTAACGAACCACCAGAACAATGCCATAGGGATAGATCTTTGCAGAACAGCTCTATGACTAAACACAGAATCCAAGTATTCCTTCCTGCTTTTTTCATTCTAACAGTGAATCTGATTAATTTGCAGTTATTTGTATATCTGAATGTTTAACTACTACATTTCTACATAATTTTGGAAACAGATTGCTAAACACACACACACACACGACAAATAAGCAATCCCCAAACAAAACTAGTAGTATTGTACAAGTTCTTAGTTCTTATAAATAAGAGTTTAATGATTTGTTCTTCTGGACAATTTACCTTTATCTGTTTTAAACAGACTAAATCCAAAGTATTTTCAGCTAGGAAAAAAGATGAGGAGACTGACGAAGGGTACAGTCAAGGTCATACAACACCAAGTCATTTCAAACCCTACCAATCTTTGTGGATGAGCTCTTAGTTAAGGATTTCTGTGGTTTAAATCTACCAGCAAGACAAATAATTATGGGTCTGTTTAGGCAAAGTATCTTATCCATAGTAAAAATCAAAACCACAACAAAATATTAAACCAGCTCATGGTTTACCTTTTCTTTAAGGTTCTCAGAACATGGTATTGCCATTATTGTCACCAACACTTTCATTAGCTGGAAGCTAATTTCTTTGCAGTCTTCCTGGCATACTTCAACCAATGCTTGTACACAATAAAGCAACTGCTCCATATAAAGGACCTATTTTTTTAATAAAAGCATACATTTATTATGTTTTGTTATAAAATATAACATTCTCTTTAAGTGAGAGATACAGGAAATGACAATAATAAAATCTAAGCACTGTATAACCCCCTAAATTGGTAATATATTGATAACTTCGTTAGTTCTTTTGATTACTCACATTCTACTTCTTATAGACAACAACATAATCTTCCTCCCACACCGTTGTTCATATTTACCTTGATCTGTTAACAAAATAAACGACCCTGCTCTTAATCACACAATTGCTCCACTATGAATACAAACATCAAAGCATTTTGGAATTCTTTCCAACTGTACTTTCTCATTCTGAAGTGCAATTTGTTAATTAATATCATATTTTTACAACTCTTTCAAATATAATTCCATGTTTGACTATTTTGAATGGCACAATAATGGTTAAATACATAAACCATGAAAACCTGAGTGCCTGCTTTTATCTCAGCCAATTTATCTCACTTGATGCAATATAATGCATGTTATCTTGATTCAACTGATACCAGCTGAAGTGAACATTGTTGTCAGTTAGTTTGCAGTAACTTCTATGACAAAGTGCATCAGATATTCCATGACACTGTCAGATTACATTTGATGAACAGAAGGGGCCACTGTTACAAGTTTACTTCCAAAAATATAAATCAAGTCTAGGAATAGGTTAGCTATAAATGTTATTAATCTCATGGACATGGTCAATCCTTTAGCTAAACAGTGTCTATGCTGCATTTGCTGTTAAAATAAAGAAAGACTGTTTTCCAAGACCAAAGGCTAGAACAATCACACCAAACGCTTCAGCTGCAGATGAATGTATCTACTCTATCTAATGCCAAATGGAAGTGGAAGCTTAAGAGCTCATAGCAATTTTGCAGATATACTTCAGGGAATTGTCGTTTGAACAATCAGGTTATAGTGCTTCCAGTTATATATGAGTTTCTAATCATCACAGGCTTCATAGAGATTAAGCTGAATTTCTGTATCACTGGTACATACTCCACTAGGAAAGAAACCAAATGAAGGAAGAACTTCAAATGTATATCTTACATTGGCTGAAAAAGACAATTACACTAGATTCAGTCTACATGCATGAATAGCTATTTTAAAGGGAAGTCTGCATCTGACGTGAAATCAATTTTCTGAAGGCACAGCACTGGCCCTTTTTTGGTCATTTTAAGTGCGAGGCCTAACAAACTTTTGGTGGAATGAAAGCTGGGATTTCATTTGTGGGGGAAATAGTAGAGATTATTCTTGTGCTCTAACAGATCTATTTCCACTTCCAAGCAACTGAAGAGGGAAAAAAAAATAATCCTGGAAGTTAAAAATATCCATTCCACATTGAAGGGAATTTCTCACTTCCTTATATAGCAATTGATGAATATTCTTCAAATGATAAAATGAAAGTGGTCTCCAGGTTCAGCCATTAGTTAGGAGTACACCTGGGAGCAAATTTATAATGTATAAAGGTCTTCCTCCTAGATTCTCACTTAAAGAGAAACAACTCGGCCCAACAGTTTAAAAAACATGCTCCTAAATGTACACATGAGAGTACTGGTACCTTCCTTTTAAAATTGAGAACAATAATAATACAAAACAAAAATAAGCTATTAAGATGGAATCTTTCTTAGGAAACCTGACATGACAGTTACAATGGACTGTGAAAAGTTTTCAGTTATTTTTACTGATGAGGATCAAAACATATGATCCTGTTTGGATTGTGAACAGAAAGCATTTCAAAACATGGGTTAAATTCTGCCTCTGGATCTGCCAAGGTAGTCCTCTATTAATACAGTACATAGTAAACAGCGTCTTCTCTCCCTGTTATACCTTTTTGTTTTCCTCTCACTACCTGAAGCCTTTCACAGCTGTTCTCAAACCTTCTGAGAAGATGGACTGCTAGCAAGTTTTTGGGAATAACAGATTTGACCAGGTGACCACAACATGGCTCAGGGACAGGGGAGCTCCTGTTTTGTCTCAGACTCATGTGCACAACTATATCCTGAGTTAGGGTGGTACCGGTGTGCAAGGGAGAGATAGGAATGGGACCAGTTAGGGAGAATAAGGGAAAAATAAGTCAAGAGAACCACTGGTCCAAAACTTTGGTTTGTTGTGTATTTTCCAGTCAGCCTTACCTCTTCAGATCGTTGACAAACGCCAGCTTGTGACAGTGTGTTGCCAAGATTGGCCAAATGAGGCTGTAAGATTTCTTTTGGGCTACCTCGGATCACCGCAGTTAGAACCATTACACAAGAAGGCTTAGGTGTCTTTCCAAAGGCTGATGTGATTAATCTCAATGACACTTCAGGGCTGACAAAAGTTCCAATCAATTCTGCTGCTTTCACACACTGAAAAAAAGAACAGGAATAACTTCAGGATTTTCCTGAAAACACAAAGACCATTCAATGTATCATGGGCATTTTCTTTTTATGATTCCAGCTGTTATTTTAAATGCTTCAGCAGTTGCCTTGAAGGCCTTTTCCACTCACTCAGTAATGATTATATGCATGAAGAAATTTTCTTGACATGTGTTCAGTAAGCACATAATAAGGCATGCAAGCACTCTTCTCAGCATCAGACAAACTTCCATGAGAAAGTACTGCACAGAAATGAAGTGTACAACTTTCAGTGTAATAAAGTCTCTAGTTTAGAATAACCAGATGTTGCAGATTTAGTGGTTTAGCACTTTGTCCTCTAAATGCATGCTTAGGCATGCTCTTAACGCACCCACTACCCATCTATTAAAAGCAGCAACAGTAAAACCCCAGAAGAGGAATTTTTTTGTTATCGTACTATATTTTGACACTGACATTACAGCTCTGGTTCAGTGTGAAAGCACTGCCATGGGGGAACCGCCCACTGCTTTCAATCTCTCGCTTCTTTAACTGCAAAGGCTTAAATTACTATGTATTCCCCATGATACTCATGCCCTTTGATCCCATCTCTGCCTTGCAGACATATCAGTGTGTTGTACTCCACACGAAATACCATCACAATCAGAGTTTACTCTCTGACTGATGCCCAATATTTACAGTCAGGTGCATGAATAAAGATACGGGCAACTACTGCGCCATTACCTGTGCAACAGGAACATTTCTTCCTAATCCATTCATTTAATGGTTGGCTCATTTCCCCAAACATGAAAGCTTATTTCCCTTTGTATATGATTTTTAGTCTAGGGATTTAGCCATGGATTCTTAATTGCACCTAATTAATACTTGAATCATCCAAGGGTTTTTGTCTCAATGGAAGCATGTAGCCATGAATTCTACAGTTTAAATCTGCACTACATATAGCTGTTGCTTTCCACAAGGGTGAAGACTCAAACCAGTTCTAACATACTCTGTGAAGATGTGAACCCTGTCCTCCTCCATTATTTGCCACAGAGAAAGAAAAAGACTCATAGTGCACTTAAAACTGGAAAAGGACAATACAATTAAACAAATTAAAAAGTAATTAATTAAAAAATACGAATTGATACACTTATATGGATCAATTTATCTACTCATTTTAACAGGGGAAAAAGAAAAAAAGAAAAAAAGGCTAACAGACCATTTGGTCTTTTACACATCTCATTTGGTATTATTAGGCTGGAGAAAGACATACACATTTTCCAAGCTGGTGGCTGCTCTGAAATGGGTTCTACAGTCACAAATGATAATCACAGTACCCTGAGAAGCAGCATCACTATGGAGATAAAAGGCATTCACAAACAAAAGTTTATGAATCTTAAATTTTGGCACAGGAAAAGTAAAATTCATTATAGAAACCATCTCCTAATTGGGAATAAATCTCTTAGAAGCACCTGCAAGAAGATTAGCGATGGAATTCTAAGAAAGAGACAAGTATGGTCAAAAAAAGGCAAGGGAAAACTATGTGCTGCTTGAACACATACTTTTGAATTTATATTTATAGCAACAAGCACTAGATAGGAAATTTGACCGGGACAGCAGGGCTATGTGGGTTTATTCTTCTAATTATTTAAGTTTTCTTATAGATTTTATGCAAGCATTAAGAAACTTGAAAAGCTAGATACCCACAGTGGCATATCTCTTCAACTCTGGGACTGTGATTTTCTAAGGCCTGTAAACCCCTTTTTGAAACAACAACATGACTTCTGACAATATTCCAGGTTTACTTCTCTCTACCATTGACTGGTGTGTGACTGGCTTAGTTTACAAGCTCAATCTGACTGTAAAGCACTATCTTTAGAGGTCAGAAGCTGGTTCTGAAAGGGGGGGTGAAAGGGGTGGAATAGCTAGAAGGTGATAATAGATAAGGATTGGGGAAAGGGAAGGAACAATTCAGGAAAAGTTGAGAGAGACAACAGTACTAAGAAAGCCTAAAGACAACAAGAAATTGCAGGAAAAAAAAATCAGAAAAAGGATAATTTCAGAAATTGATTTCATGGTCTATATAGTTCAACTGATAGCAGGAACCTAAAGAAAAGCCTGATTTAGGAAATCAACTGTTCTGACATTTGTTGGGCTACTTGCATTAAGTAAGCAGAATGCATTCTTCCAATTTCCCAAAGGAAAAAAAATTTGTAGCTTTAAAGTGTTTTATCTTAAAACTGTAAAAGCATTACCCTCTGCTAAATTTACCTAATTTACTTAAAGCTACCCTCTGCTAAATTTACCTAATGTCTTCAATTACATCTGTTTTATTGACTTATTGTTGACCAAAGTGTTGAGAGGATCAACTGTTAGAAAAATCTGATACTAACTATTCCTCACAAAATATATGGGTAAAGAAAAAAAAGGCATTTTACAATCATGAAGTATTCAAACACTACATATGGAATAAACATACCTCAATATTTCATTGGAATTATGGTTGTATTATACAGCAGAGGAAGATAAGTGAAATTAACTAGAAAGGGCATGACCTGTACATTTTTTTAAATTGAATTTGTTGCTCCAAGGCTTTTATACTTTAATTCATTGCTTATGATTTTTAGAGAGATCACTATCAATGCTTCATGGGGTTGGCATATAAACTAAACAGCATTTAAATAACTTTCCTATTGGTCTTCATACCATTAGTACAAGAATACATTTATTTTGACATAGCAAGTAAGGAAGTATAATGTTCACATGTTTTTAACATCCATAAAAACATGAGCCTGACTGTAAAGGATGGGGTCTTTATTCAGGGTATAATAGATATTTTAACAGATTAAACTTACATTTTTAACGACATCGCTTTCTTCATCCAAGCATGCTTGGTACAAAGTTCTGAGCAGTAGCTCCATGTGTTGTGTTATGTGATCCTCTGCATGTAGCAATAATGTATACAGAAGCTGGGATGCTTTTATTCTTGTGCTTTCAACCCAGTCTGTTATATCATGACAGAGACCTGGAAGAATTTTGGAGAGGTTTCTTGACACAAGTTCCCGACAACCTAGTCCTGGTCGAGTCACTAGAAGAAAACAAACAAAAACAAAAGAAAAAGAAAAATCAAAGGAAAAGCCAGCGCACATTCTTCCTTAGAAAAGTTTAACAGCTCCAAGGAAGAGCCACAGGTGTCTGCTTCAGCGTGGAACAGAATATTCCAGATGCTGCTGAGGAATTTACCTGCGCAAGTTGCACTTCTTTAATGTATACAGCAGAATTTAAACTCCACACAGCTCTCTAAAAATTCATGAATTTATTACTATATGGTGATTTAGATTATGATCTTTAAAATATTTACAGAAGGGGAAGAGAAATAGAACTTAAATGAATATGGGACATTATTCAATCTGGAAAACACAGCTTAATAATTTCCTTTTAATTTTTATAGCAACACAAATCCCATTAAAAAACCCAACAACTGACACACAGAGAGATAAACAGAAGAACGACTTTTGCACGCAAATGTTGTGGTATCAGAGTTAAATGTCGTTTGGAGGGGGAAAGAAAGGTAGAAGTCACAAATAGTACAAGGGACATGAACTGCAGTAAAACAGATAATGTCAACTGTGCCCTCCAAGAAAAAGGTTAAAAATGTATCTAGCAAATTAAAAGCAGAAAGAGCACTATGACTTGTACAAGTGCTGTGCAATAGATCAGGCCAACTAAACTGATAGTATTTTTAAAATCACAGCTGTTACATGATCTCTTTTCTAAGGCCTTTTCAGGAAAAGCAGATCACTGATGTGACTCTTCAATCTCCATCCAATTTTTATATTAAATAACACATTTCAAAATAGTATGAAAGATTATACAGGAGTTGGGGTTTTTTTTTAGATTGAACTTGATTTGTAAAGGCTTTGTGGAAAGTGGGGTTTTGTTGTTAACTTTTGTTTTTAAACAAAACTCCAAAGTGTAACAAATACATATTCCCTACCTCAATAAAGGATGCAGACTTCTAGAGAACTAATAAACTTACCTTCCCCAAGAAATGCTTACTGCCCTCTCTTGGTAATCATCAAATTTACCTCTTAGTTCATTTATAAATCAGAGACTCAGAGAAGCAATTTGACCAATATCACAGGCAACTATCAAACCTTCCACCCTGTACTTTACACATAACGCTGTGACAGCACTTTTTAAGACCTGCAATAAACATTTTTAGTGTTTTTTTCTACAGCAATTTTTTTTTCCTTTATACTGTACATACTTATACAAACAAAATCTGAAAAGTTGTTCTCTGAGAACCATCATTTTTAAATTGCCACTCAAAATGTTCACATACTGTTTTAAGAAAGAAACATTATTGATTATGAGGTGTCCAGAAACATCGAATGTGTAAGTGCATTTTTCATTTCTGGTACAGAGTCCTCCTCAGAAAGGACATGACTGAGTTGTCTCAGGATGTTTTCCCACATTGGCCTGTGTAACTACAAATGTTAAAAGGAAGACAGAGTAACGTAAATAGTCTGAAGAATACAAAAGGCTTATACAAATGCCTATGAAATACCTAGAGTAGGAAAAAAATATAAATTCTAGCATCAGGACATGAATTGCTGCTTCCTTTGTCAACGGAGGGTAACATTTTGGATTAAGAAAACTGACAATGAATAGCGAAAGGTCAAACAAAGAAATCACAGCAAATACAGACTGGCATCCTATTTGACCTGAGGCAGAAATTTATTTAAAGAATTTGGACCATTCTTTATCAGCAGTTCCTTCATTTCAGATGTTCAAATGGAGGCATTTATCCCTGTAGCTACTCCTGTCAAAGACTTCCCTGCTATAAACTGTCCACACCTGTATCCTAAGGCAAAGACTGCTGTTGCTCAATGGAAAGCTATTCAGTTGGTTGGATGACACCAGGTATGAGGTCTAACTCTATTCTTCCTCTGACCTGCAGTATCTGTCATCGTGAGATCAAAGCACAGGGGGGCTCATATGTCAGGTCCATTAGTTTGACAGTTGGGCAAAGATAGTTAAATAAAACCTACTAGAAACTCACACTTGTAAAAGATATTCCAGTACATTAAGTCAGAAGAAATGGGAACAAAGTCTTAAAATATATCATTATCATATAAAAAAATGTAAATGTTTGTGGAAGGGAAACAAAGGGGAAGGACACACATAATGACAACTCATCCATATATACTCTGTGGTAGGACACCACAAATTATTACTTGAAACTAAGGTATACTAGTGTCTCTGACAAAGTTTTGTATCCATAAGACTAAGGAGATAATTACCCTTTCCTCTCATTTTTAATTCTGTCACATAAAGCCTGACTGGTAATAAGACATACAATTTGGAAGATAAGCAGGAGGAAATTATATCTTAAGGTCACCATTAATTTGGACTCAAGTCCAAAACTATCATGTCATTTCTTTAAAATACTCTTTAGTTACATATATGTACAGATATACGTGTGTGTACTTATGTCACATTCAGGCCTTAACTGCATCATTCTACCAAGCAAGATGCATGAAAAGTCAATTAAATGCAGGGCTGGAATGTTGCCCGAATTCATGAAGCATATTTATTGTTCTAAGAAGATTGTTTAAGAAAGTACATATAATTTAATTATAATGTAATTGATAGATGTCCCTTTCTGAAAATAAAACAAACCAGAACAGCATACATACAACACACTCCTAGAGAAAACAAGATAACAGTATCAGTAATATAAATGGCAACAACTGTTTCAAGGACTAGCACATGAAGCCTTTTATGACCTTCACTATATCATGGTCATTGCAGAATAACTGACTGGAGCTTAGACATCAGCTTATGTATGTTAAAAAATTCTCTGACTGCCAAAAAAAGAAATATGTTTCTGCCATCAGTAGTGGAAGTAAAAGCATTCTTTACCATTTAAAACCCCCTGAGGTAATATTATATAAAAAATAAGGAAGAAAGAAAAAAAACATTGGAAAGGATAACAGATCAACTTGCCTGTCTTCAAAACTAAACAGCTCTGTCAAACCACTCACAATTATGAAGTGCTTCCCCTTTCATTCAAGCATTACTGAGTAAAACAACTTTAAAGAAAAAAAAAAAAAAAAGAAAAAAAAAAAGTGCAATTTCAAAGAAGAAAGAACTCCGGAACCCACTGTCATGGAAAGGATTTTGCTGCTGGGTATTCTGTGATGTGATTGTCATGTAGGCACAAGTCAAGCATGAACCTGTTCTTTCACACCAAAAGAATTTTTGTTCTGTTAAATATGACTATAGAAATCAATAAATGACCCATTTAAACCCTCTCTCTCACCACACCCATATGTCTATTTTTAAACATTAACTTTATTGAACCTGAGACAGGAAACAAGCTTCAAGCTACTGCAAACATAACATTTTAAAGCTACCTATAAATCATACAGTACTAAAAAGTAATCCACCCGCACTGCATATTCTGTTTTTTTTGTGTATAATAAAGGAAATTATTGTTTCTATTCCCATGTTCTTCATGTACACTGGCAGAGTTTAGTTAGTATCCCTGTGTCTCACAAAGAAGTCTGAAATCATTCCAGTACAAATTTTTCTTCCACGTCAATTCTATGGATCATTAATGCTGTGTCTAGTTTTCATCATTCGAGGAGACTGCTCACATGTTCTTTCATCCTGCATTCCTTTCTGGTCATCTCTGTGCCCATTCTCCACCTGATTGCTGGCTAATGTAGAACTTTCTGCTGCTTCTGCACCTCTGCTTTACCTCTTTTCATCATCAGCATTTTCATTTACTCTTTCTCAAAAATGCATTTTGGGATTAATGTAAAAACTGAATGTAGTTACTGAACAAACATTTTTTAAAATTTAAATTTAACATAAAGAATATTATATACATATATGCTATATATTTGTACATATAGGTGCTACCCCTCACTATACCCCTGTATATTACATCTTGTAATGAATATTACACATCCTTCTCTGCTGTCACTACTGCACTGCAGCTCTCAGGGATTATTCAGAAAGTAAAAACCACTTTCAGTACAACACTCACCTCCTTTGGGATAATGAGATGGCAAAATACTAAAATCCATTTTATCCTTAAGATCTTCTTCATTCTCTTTCTCCCACTGCAAGCCTATCTTTTCCCAGTAAGTCCAAGCCAGTTTCCTAGACATAAAGTAAGAGTTTTATACTATCATGCCCCCCAAAGAAAAACATTTTAAAATAAGACTTCCAGAAACTTTGACTTCTTAAATTCAGCTGGAAGGACAGGGAGCATTCCTGCCATTTAACTTAGGCACTTTAAATGCTTCTTTTGTACTCAGTGGACAGAGGTCACCTCTTCTGGTGATAATTCTGTCTCTGTCTACCTCTTTGTCTTTGCATCTCTCATACTTACTTAAATGTAGTATAAAAGGACAATATAACAAAAATTACTGAAGATAATGCTTTTATTCTGGGTTTAAGAAAGTGAGGGTTTTTTCACCAAGCAATACATCTGTGAACATAGAAACACTTTCATGTAGAACAATTATTTAGAGGAGAGGAAAAAAAAAAGTAAAATAAAGTGTTCTGCTTACATATTTTCAGGAATTTCATCAGTAAAGCCGCCAAGTAACAAAGGGATCAACTTGTGAAAATATGAGTATCTATCTCGTAGGTGCAACAACCATTCTCCAATGACAGTTGTTACAGCATGCCGAACCTACACAGATACAAAAAGACCATTTTCAATATGTCAGGAAAATACCAGAGAAATTAAAAAACAGTATTTGGTTTTGGTATGTAAGACTTGGTAATGTGCATTAATAGTTTCTGAAGAAATTACAAGAACCCAGGATTTCCTCACTTGCAACAAGCATCTTAAGTAACCTGCATGGTATCATGCTCCCTCTTGTGTTCTCAATCTGGCTTAGTTTCAGATTACTTGCTGCACCAAAGCACATCTCCAAAATGAAGACAAGATACAGACCAAACTCAGAAAACTCTAAATTCTCATGGTTACTATCTCTTTTGAGAATGTTAGAAACGTACATTTCTCCAGAATTTGAAGCTTTCCAAGCACATGTCCAGAAGACAATTTTCTCTGTTCACTATAAAGGAAGCCTGAATTAAATAATGTGAATACACCCACTTAGAAATATTTTAGTTATGAGTAAGTTGCACATTTTAAAATTATTGCCTCAACTGCATCTTATGAAGGGACCAATACCATGTTTGTTAATCATCTGAAAAGGAGACTCAAGTCCCAGAGAGATTTGACAGTATAATTTAAGGCAGAATTGAAGGGACCCATTAAAAGCAAAAGGTGCCTACAAACTTCAACAGCCTGCAGATTAGACAGCAGGCGAATAGGTCACCAACCTTGGTTTTGGATCGCTTACAACTGACAAAGCCTGTATGTAACATATTTACATATCTCAATTGCATGAATGAAAGCTGAAAATATTGGAGGGGCGGGGGGGGGGGGGGGGGGGGGGG